CCGATCTCCTCTCGGGATTTTGGGAAAGCATACCTATGTACCTGGTGTAATGTTCAAGTCCCTGGGTCTAGAAGTAAAACTGTGTAGCTGGCCATCTGGGATTCAGTGCCATAACCTCCAAGGCACCTGTTGGCACCCCCCCAAACATTTTTTTAATTGCCAGAAGGTGCAGACAGTTACCAGACAGAAGCAGAGAGAGGGAGAGAGAGAAGGCGCCGCGCAATGGGCACTGTCACGTAACAGTTCCCTCTTCTCCAGCCTGTTGGGATTTAGAACAGGTGTGTATACATACATGCTGGCTCATTTTTCAAGCCACAGGGGCCAGAACTGAATCATGATCAGCCATGTGGGATCTGGCTTCCTTAATCACTAGGCTATAGGGTCAGCCTGAAATCTGCGTTTATTATGAATCATTCAGGTATTTCGGATGCTCCCATGCTGGTGCAGTAACAACCACTGTGATATATTATCAGATGAGTTTTTGTTTTTTTTTTGGAGAGGTTTTTGCAATAGGGCGCGTGTGTTTTCCAGAAAGACAGAGACAGAGAGACAGAAAGCGAGAAATCACCCCCCAGGGGGGATGGCCATGCCGCAGTCCCTTCTCCTCCATTCTCCTTTCGGGATCTTGGGCACGCACATACACGTGCACAGCGAGCGACATAGCCATTACGCCAACTGCTGGTCCTACCAGATGAGTTCTTTAGGGCTTCCTAAGTGGTCCGGACCTGAGAACAGTCACTTGTGGGCAAACCATCCAGATAGGCGAACCTAGACATGGACCCCAACCCGCCCGCACACCATCCACGGGTGAGTGATTAGTGATGGGCACTCTGTGTGGGGCCCGTGGGCTTTGACCATATTGAGTGTGCCCCTCCCCCACCCCACCCACAATGGACTATGTCCCCCTCGGTCGTCTCTCCATTCAATGGCAAGTTAACACACAGATGGAACAAACCTCCGAAAACAAGAAAAGCTCTGCATGAAGCATTCTTGGCTTCGGGAGAATTCAGTCCAATTTGCCACCAATATCAAGGCTTGCTTTTGATTATGTTGATGATAAAGACTGTAAACAAAACAGCCTTTCTCTACTAATTAATTCCCTTCGAAAAACTCTAAAGATCTTTAATTACACAGTTTGAAAAGCAGCGGTTACCCGATCGGGCTGATCGGCCTGTGCGCTCCTCTCTGCCCACCTGAGCGAAGCATTTGCTTGTTTTCCCTGCTTCACACACTAGGATGGGCTCGCAGTAAACCCTGTCGACTCAACGCCTGACAAAAGTGCTCTGATGTCAGGTATAAAGAATGCCACCTACAGCTTAATGTCTGAAAAAAAATTCTGAGGGCTGCAAACAATGAAGGTTTTTGTCTCCTTAATGCCCAGTATGCAATCGAGTGGAAATGCTACTTCCATCTGTAATCTACAAATGAAATTAAAGTTGTTGAAAGACATAGGGTAAACCAGAAGCCTTTGTTCCTTTGCAGAACAGGAAAATTTTAAACCACTAAATGTTTTAGCAGATTTACTAAATTTCCAATTAAATCATGAAATCTATTATTGCAGAGCTCTGAGAGGCAGCATCTCTCCCTTTCCCCTCCCTCTCTCTGTCCCTCTTTCTGCCTCTCTTCCTGTCCCACTCACCTGCAAATACTTCTAAGCAAACCAAACACACACACACACACACATGTGAGTGCACCTCTCTCAACGTATAGCCTCATTTTGTTCAACCTGTAGAGAAATTGGGGTGTAGAGAGGGGCACAGGAGCTTGAAGGTGAAAGGGGACAGCTCAGTGACAGTTTGCAGGCCAGGCCTAGGCCATCCTTTGGGGAGGGAAAAACAAAAACAACCCTAACAGTTTCAACGTGTGGAGGGTCCCAGGGTCTCCAGCAAGTGGAGGCAGCAGGCTAGAGCAGAGAGGCATCGGGAGCGCAGTTGTGGGGAGGGAGTCAGATCTGCTATACAAGAGCACCCTCTGCCAGTTGGCACAGAGGGCTGGCTGGAGAGGCCTGTGGCCCAGAGTCAGGGGAAAGGGCACAGGACTCTGTGTACAAAGCCTGCAGGGCTGGGGGCCAGGCAGGAGAGAGATTCTATCTTCAAAACTACACAGAGCACTCACCTCTGGAACAATAGCCGGTGCAGGCAGGGGCGATGCTGATTTTCCAAGGGCTCTCCACGTTAATCCTCCCCACCAAATCCAGCCACTAGGAGCCTGAATGGTCCTCCAGACACCCATTCAGTAGAAAATGACGGGTGATTTTTGCCCTTGTCTCCAGAGATCTCCGGTGAGCACCGCTGCTCCAGCAGAC